AAGCCATAAAAAACAAATCAATCAATCCCAAAATGTGTTATCATCAATATTTCTAATGAACATAGATATTATAAATTCATATGATATACTGCTCATATAAATATAGGCATTAATCCTGGGTATGATGATAAACTACATCTAGCAGCAAAGCCTCTGATCAGGAGATTGAAGATTTTGAGGAGTGTAGAACTACCTCTTAATTGTTGTTTCCAGATCCATCCTAACCCTGGGTTGTAGAACCAGTTAGGGTCTCAACTATGGGCAAATAGTGACCCCACAAACAAAAATAAAACACTATCAAAGTATAAAAATACATTTTTATAGTAAAAATACCAGTAATACATTTTTATATAAAAAAATTATCAACTATACATGTTTCAGTGGTGTAGCTAGAGTAAACGTCACCCAGGGTGGTCTGCTCAAATGTCACCCCAATGACCCCGATTCACCCTATGCTGAATGGTTAGCTGTAGCTAAATTTTCATACATGCTCTACCTCTACTTTACTCTACTGACCGGTACGTTATTGTTTACATGTATGATCCAAGACAAAATCCAATACTACAAAATAATCAGTTCAAATCAAAAGATTTTAAAAATGCAACTGTTCACTTTCAGAACAACTAAATACAAAACACAGCAATACACAAAAGAATGACATTCGATACTATGGTCTTAGAATGAATGTTTTTTTGTTTTCATTGTGGCAAACTGGTCAATGACATCATCAAAATCTGTTTGTCTTGTAAGCTCATTTTCAATGGACAGCACAGCCAGATCCGACAGTCTTGACTGGCTCATGGTTGACGTAATTTTCTGTTGCTAATTTTCTGGTGTCCAATTTTTCGTTGCATCATTTTCTGGGTACCATTTAATTATCAATGATGTTTGAAAGTATTTTTCTTGACAAAATGTTCTATTTAATTTTAAGCATTTTTCGAACATTGTAAATCAACTGCATTCTTTTAAAGGTTACCTAGAGAATTTTTGAAAAGTTTATTTTTTTGTTTTTTCTTTATACAAGTAAAATAAATTTACATCGTATTTTGATGTTATTATGATTTTAGTTTTAGTGATAATTTAAAAACAATAAATATTTATCATTAGTACCAATAATGGAAAATTAAGTTAAAATTTAAAAAGAATCGTTTTGGAATCAGAAAATAGGCACAAATTTTTCCGATTCCGATACCCCCAAAAGTTCCGATTTTTCCGATTCTTGATTCCGATTAATCGTCCCAACACTAGTAGATATATTCAAAAGTATATTGCTCACTCAATGGAAATTTGTATCTCAGCGAATTGATACACAGGCAAGACTGAAATTGTTGCACTTTTGGCTTCGCATTTTGCTTTGTTGTTATTAATGATGCAGAGTTAAAACACCATATCATCTGATAAAATGTTACAACAATGTCTCTTGTTAGTAACCAAGATTGTAGCAACCGAAACACATGAAAGCTGAAAACATTGCTATTTTTCCTACTCACAAATTTCCCGACAATTTATTAGAAAATTTCTGACAGGGGGACAAAACTGGGGAGTCATAAATTATTTCTGGGGGTGGGGGGGGTCATATGCCCCCCTGCAAAATCCTGTGTCTCCACCACTGTTTTCAGACTATTTTTGGCACCTTAGCCTGGTTGAAAAATTTTGTTGGGGGTGACATTGTGTCACCCCCTCCTATGCTGGCACCCAGGGCGGTCCGCCCCCCCCTCGCCCTGCCTTAGCTACGCCACTGACATGTTTATAGTAAAATTACCAACAATACATTTTGTCTGTAATTGAAGGCATACAATAGCATTAATAATATTTAGATTTCAGTATTGAATAATCCAATGCCACTAAACAAAACCAACCAAACAACAAACATGAAAGAACTCTTTCATGACATTAATCCATATAATATCCTAAACTTTCTTAAAGAAATAAGACTGTATTCTAAAATATAACTTTATAAGGATACAGAAAGTGCTTATCTCCCTTTTTTGGAGATGTCATGAGGGCTGCTTAATGATGTCACTTCATACAGTGACAAAAGCAGAAGTCAAATTCAGTTCTTTTATAACAGCTAAATTGTAAGGTTATTTTCTTTAGCTTGGGCCCCTCCATGGCCCAGATAGAGGCTAAATCTACCTCACCTACAGCTTACAAGTCCATGGTGCTGTTTCCTTTTGGGAATATATATTTCCCAGATATAGAAAGAAACTCCAGCTCGCAGTCCTCAATTTGGGAAAACCCAAGATTCACTGTTTCTCATTTATGGAATATGTCCCTGCCTGGGACATATATGAATCTGGCCTGTTTGAATCTGAGGTCCTAAAAATAGCTTCTCCAGACACAAGAGTATCTCCATATTATATGTAAGACCCTTCCTTTTTGTTTCTTCTTACACTCTTCTTTGCTATGTAGATATATGACATATTATTCTCCATATGAGACATATGTATATATGTACATATAGTTTTGTGTATTTTCTAGTAGTATAAAATCTCTCTGAGAAGAAAGCATATTTGTCATTCTTTTTCCTTTCAGCCATTCTGTTTCATCCATGAGTTACATAGTGTTATTCTATCATGTATATAATAATGCCCATAACAGGGGAAATAAACGGAAGAATAAATCTTTCTTCCATAGCTCACTCCCGTTACAATTTCAACAAAACTACAACTAAAACACACATATCACCACCTCTAGTAATTATGTCCACACAATCATGTATATGCACAAAAGCTGAGTATCATCTACTATGTATTCAATTGTGAAAGCAGAATAACATACATCATAGTTTTATTACTTCAAAGCTCCCAAGAAAATTAAGGTTTAGCATTAAATGACCTATAAAGAGTTGATATGCCATTAAACAAACAAAACAAATCAAATTTAATATAAGCATATTGTGAAAGTTTTTCCACCATTGGTTGGTTAATACCAATTTTGTTGTGAAAATATCCATTTGCAAAAAACCTGATATAGTGTATGAACTTATCTGGAGAGAGATAATAAGAAAATAAGAAATAGTGTAGGAAAAAATAGAAAAGATAGAAAAAATAAAAACTCAGAAAAAAAAAAGGATTATACAAGAGGGAGAATCTTTCTATAGTACTTAAGATGTAAACATTGTGCTTGTTGTAAAGATAAAGAGGCAAATGGAACTAATATTAGAGTATCCTGCTTGTCTTTTAGACTGACTTGTAGTGTGCTATGTGTTTAAAGTACCAGTTTGACTAAATATAATTAATATAGTTAAAATAATTTCTGTGTTGATAAAGTTATAGTAAACATTCATATCTTCTGCTTTCTTGCAAATAAAGCAGAACAATATTTTTTATGTCTTCATTAATTAGAAGGTTTTTAGATGAGAGAAGATTAATAGAAACAGAAACAACAAGAAATAAGAGAGAAGTGGATAAAAGAATACACCAAAAAAGTGGATGATAAACAAATTGGGAGGTAAATATTGATTTAAAGTTGCACTATGTTTAAAATGATATCTTGTCTCATAACTTTAGCACAAACAGCCCAATCAGGGAATATGATTTGTTGACCAATGATGCACTTTGACAAAGTATTGAGTTAGGAAATATTGGCCCAAAGTTGCCAATTTCATCTAATGAGGTACTAATGACTGCATGGATTAAAATACATGTGAATCGCAAATTTGAGCCAATGCTTAACATTCATTCTTTACTTAATTTATTCATTCTATTGCAGTTCATGAAAATTCAAGTACTACATCTGTTGTTCAGCTAAGGGAAAATTGTATAGGAATTTCAAGTCCTTCTGTACATGTCAACTAAAAACAAAATTTTCAAATCTGAAAAAGACAACTCTAAATAGTTCTATGCTCTCTCGCTCTTTCTTTCTTTCTCTCTTTGTATCACTCTCTCTATATATATATATTTATGTGTATGTAGGAAATTTCATGAAAATAAAACCAAAATTGTGTCTTGTATTCACAGAAAAGACAATCATCAGAATCAACTACAGAATGTTTAAACATGGAACCAATGTTATCTGCAGCACTTTGATGAAAAAAAGAATAAGTAAAGCAAAGATATGAGAGAGAAAGGGTGAATGAGATCTAAAGAAAGAGAGAGAGAGAAAGGGAAGAGAAGAAAAGAGAGGATAAAATGGAAAATAGGATAGAAATTGAAGAAAAAAAAGCTTAAAAGAAAACAAAAGAAAGAGAAGAGGTTGTGGAAGAGGGCAATGATGAAAAAAAGAGAAGGTGAATAATATGTATTGGTTAAATTAAGCATTGAGGAGGAGGTGGTGTTGTAGGAAAGGGAGATTACTGAAATGCAAATGCAAAGTGAGTGGAAAATAATGACATGGGAAAGGAAGACTGAGAAGGGGAGGAAAATGAGGCAGCAAATGAAGGTGGTTGCAGAAGGGGAAATGTGTTGGTACAATTTGATAGAAGAGAGGACAGCTTAAAAGAGTCAAGGAACAAAGAAAGATAAGGAAAAGGGAAATGAGAGTGGGGGAATGAAAGACAGTAGAACATAAGAGGGGAAAGGTATAGATGAGGAAGAGATAATTTGAAGGAAGATAGGGAGAATAAAAGGGAGGATGTGTTAAAGAGAAGCAAATAGAAAAATATTAATCAAGAAAGCTTGGCAAGATGATTGAGAAGATGAGAGAGTGGGAGAACAATCTAAAGGAAGAGGTGATCTGAAAAAGGAAGAGGTAAAAAAGAAAAGACAGAGAAAGAGAGGAAATATACGAAAACAGGAAAGGATAAAGATGATGGTGAGAGAGGGGGGATGAGAGGGGGAGAGAGAAAGAGAGAGAGGTGATAAAGGCCAAAATAGAATGTTGGAAATAACATGGAGATGGGAAAATCAATATCAAAGAGAGGAAAGATACTAAAAGGGACAGACATATAGATTTAGTCAGAGGAAGAATATAGAGGAATACATAAGGAAGAAGGAGAAAATAACAATTAAAGGAATATGAAGAGCTAAAAAATACAAATTTGAAAACATGCAAAAATGTTAGAAAAAGGGAGAAAAAAAAGGAGAATAAAAAGAAATGATAAATATGAAATGAGGAGAAATGAAGGAATGGTGGAGAGAAGGGGAAGAACAAAAGAAAGTGAAGAAGGTAGAGAAGAATAAACACAAGAGGAAGAACAGAATGTTAGAAAGAAGGGAGAAGGACAGAAGAGATAAAAGGAGAATTAAAGAAAGAAAAGGAGAGTAATGAAAAAATAAAAACAATAAAAAAAAAAGAGAGACAAATAAAGGCAGAATGAAAAACAGGTTCTTGGAAAAGAGAATGAGTGAAGGAAAAGAGTGAATATGAGACAAAGAAGAAAGAAAACAACCGAAGGCCAAAGAAAAAGGAAATAAGGAGAGCCTGTAAACAGAAATAAGAAAATCTTGGATTACAAGATCAAAAGAAAAGAAAAGTGTGTGTGTGTGTGTGTGAGAGAGAGAGAGAGAGAGAGAGAGAGAGAGAGAGTAAGAACTTTAAGAGAGTAACTGTTTTCACAAAACACATGTTCATGTGTAAGAGAGAGAAGGGGAGAGAAAAGAAAGAGAAAAACAAGTAAAAAAAAGAAGAAAAATACAGTAGTGGCTGAAAAGTGAGGAGTAGTGGTGATAGGAGAAATAAAATAAAAGGAGGTGGAAGCAACAGCAGTGAAGGAGGAAAGGAAGGGGAGTGAGGTTGAAAGAAGGGCAGATGGAAGTGAGGGGAGATAATATTGATGGAAACCTTTGCAAGCAAGCAAAGCATGTGAGTGAGTGAGCCAGCAAGAAAAAGAATGAAAAAGATTGGCATGAAGATGAATTGCACCAAGCAAAACAGATAAAAGAGAAAGTCTGAAACGGTAGGGGGAGGTGGTGCTGAAGAAAAAAAAGAAAAGTTTTTTAAAAAAACAGAAAATCTACAAAAGACAGTAGGGAAGGAAAAGGAGACAGAAGGGCAGGGAAGATGAGTGGTGGAAGAAAACGTGTAGGTAGGGGTTGAGGAAGAGAAACAGGAAAGAATGATGTTTTGCCTGTATGTGTGTGTATGTACAGATGAGATTGGTTATAATAATTGACAGAGAAGAGGAGGGTTGCATGAAAAGGAGAGGAAGGTTGATAATGGAAGTAAGGAGACAGAAAGTGAAGATAACAGTGGAGATGGCTATGTATGAGTTAGAAAGGTTGAGATAAAAGATGAGATGGACAGAGACAGCAAGGGAGAGAAAAGAGATGGAAAGTGGGTATGTGTCTAAAAGAGAAAATGGCTGATAGCAAAAGAGAGAATATGGGAGAGAAAGGATAAAGAGGGGGAAAGGAAAGATCTCTTGCTTATTGCCAATTTTCATAAGAAATGACAAATAAAAAAAGTTTTAGGGATTTAGATGAATATTGAGAAAAGGAGGAGATAAAATGGAAGATTTAAAGAGAGATTGAAATGAGAAAGCTGGATATAGTCAGTAAATTAAGCTGAGATAGAATTTTTAGACAAGGAAAAAACAATACGAACAGAGAGATAAATAAATTAAAAGAAATAATAGGAGAGAATATGATGAAGAAAAAGATTTGTTTATGCAAAATAGATTGGGGGTGGAGAGAGAGAGAGAGAGAGAGAGAGAGAGAGAGAGAGTGGATGGCTGTATGTGTGAGATACTGGTTATTTTGATGTTTGATATTAAAGAGAGGAGTAGAAGAAGTTAACTAGCATAGAGAGAGAGAGAGAGAGAGAGAGAGAAGGAATTGAAGGAGGGAAGAGGAAGGAGGAATTTGTGTATAGATGAAGTAGAGAGGGAGTGAAAGTGAATAAAATACTTGTTATATCAGAAAATTGTTACAAAAGTAAAAAAAAAAAAATAGAGGAAATTAAAATAGAAAGACGTAGTAAAAGTAGAGAGAGGTTTTGGAGTATTCAAATCTGAATGAGAAAGTATGATGTCAGTTGTATGAATGATTAAGGGGAAAAAAGATATAAAAAAGGGAAAAATTTACAAAGATAATAACATTTAGTTAGCATAAGGGAAAGATATGGAAATGGATATATCAGAGGGGGTGAAACTCTATTGATGACAAAGTAAAGAAGATAGGTGTTCAGAGTGACAGAGAGAGTATAGGAAAGAAGAAGACAAATAAGGAAAGAGATAGAAATAAGTATGTGTGCCAGTATAATTGGGTAAAAGAGAGACCTCTAGAATCTAAAACAAGATCTGAAGAGAAGAGAGGTCAAAGAAAAAGTGAGAAGGATAGACAAATTAGAAGACAAAGAAAGAGAAGGAGAATGTATGATTGTGGAGAGTCAGATGCTTGTGTACAGGAGAAAGAATACTGTGGAAACATAGCTGTTATGGTAGAAGAGGGGGAATCAGAAAAAAAAGATGATAGAGAAAGGAGATACAGAGAGGAAAAAGAGAGGAGAATAGGTGATGGTGGAGAAAGATAAAGGGATTTAGATAAATTTAAATAATATATTAGTGAAGAGAGTCAGGATTTATAGTAAGGTTGTAATAAAACTGACAGATCAGAGGGAGCAAGTGAGAGAGAAATAGAGTGATGGGTGTGTGGATATCTAAGTTGTGTGTATTGTATTAATGAAAGTGAAGAGGAGTGTGTGTGTGTGTGTGTGTGTGTGTGTGTGTGTGTGTAGAAAATCTGAGAGAAGAGAGAATTAAAAGAGAAGGAAGAGTGGTTGTGTGTGTCTGTGTGTCTGTATCTATGAGCAAAATTTGATACAGCTGATGATTGAGAGATGATTGAGAGAAGATAGCATACAATATTGATGGGGAAAAAAAGGAGAGACAATTAAAGGGAAATTCAAGGCTGATCAGAAAAAGAGTGTGTGTGTGTGTGTGTGTGTGTGTGTGTGTGTGTGTGTGTGTGTGTGTGTGAGAGAGAGAGAAAGAGGGAGAGATTTCAAATGGAGATAGAGTGAAAAAATGAAGAGATACATTCAAGGAAACTCTCTCGGAAGGCGAAAATAGGGTGTAGATAGAAAATGTGAAAGAGATAGAAAGACAGTGGATAGAAAAGATAAAGAAAAAAAAAGAAGGAAAATATGAGCTGAGATAGGACAGGCAGAATGAGAAGCAGGGAATACAATGCTGAAAGTTAAGAAATAAGATTGATATTTGTGAATGCAACTTCTATTCTTGAAAACAAACACATACACACATTCATATGCAGTGTTATGTGTTTGTTATTAAAGATATATTCAAACATAAACTAATAATATATTTGAAGGTTCATATATATATATATATATATATATATGTATATATACGTGTGTGTGTGTGTGTGCATGCATGTGTATATATATATATACACGTATATATCTGTATATATATATATACACGTATATACCTATGTATGTATGTATATATATATATATATATATATATATATATATATATATATACACACACACATACTCACACATATATATGCATGAGAAACATTTATATTATTTACATCAATCAAAATCTCTATTGCATGTGCGTGTGCATGTGCGTGTGCATAATATGCCCATTTGTATATAAGTGTACATAACTGTCTTAACCTTATTTCTTTGCTCTCTTTCCTTGACAGTGGGAAAGATAACGTAGTACAAAAAGAAGCAATAAATGAAAAAGGAAATTGAGGAAAAGCTTATATTTAGAGGAAGAAATGCATGTACATACAGACACATTCATGTCCACAAACTATACAAATTATGAATTGAGTTTGATATGTACATAACAAAAGTTAAAAATTCAAATATACATGAAAATAGATCCATGTTATTAATATAAATATATTTTAATATTACCAGACTACCTACAAAAACTTCTCTGCCAAATATTAAAGAGCCAGTAATCAGCCAACTGCCTAGGATTAAAGTGTAATATCTGTGCACTTTGCCTAGGATAAAAGTGTAGTTCTGCATCACTTCTGCCAAGGTGCCTGTGTGCAAAGTATTATAAAAAAGTATGTGAAAATTATACACACACATAAACATACACATTGTATATTTGGGCAGCAAGCTTTCTTTAATACATGTTTCATTGAATGTAACGAATTAGGAAAATTTTTCTAATGTTCTTACAGTTTCCCTTTGGGAGTAGCTAAGAGAGTGCAGGAACTGTTCGTAATGATTATTGTCCCAAGTGCTTTTGGTCAATTCATTAGACATTTTCATGGGGTATGATGTTAATATTTTTTCAATATTTATGTTCAAAGGTTTATTGTGTGGAAGTAGTATTAAGTTTGAACAAAAGATCATAGCATTTTTCAATAGGTGGTGTTTGAACAAGTGATTTTGTTTCTCATGTGACTGAAATTTATGACTTATCTACATATTGTAAAAAGTGATATTTTGATGTGTTGTTCTATATTTTTGTGTGAATTGTGAATTTTAAATATTTTTTATGGTAAAAGTGAAAATGTAGGAAAATGAGATGCATTTACATCATTTCATTTGGTACTGTTTTATGTCCAGAAAGGAAAAAATGCTGCACAAGCAGCAAAACAGATATGTATCATTCATGGAGATGGTGCCATAGCTGAGAGAACAGTTTGTAAGTAGCTCACATGAAGTTCAGAAGTGAAAATTTTCATCTGGAAAACAAAGAGCATCCTGGCGGGCCTGCATTTGTTGGTGTTGACCAAATTGAAATGCTGATTAAAATTAAACTGGGTTACACAACTTAGGTCATCACATATCTCATATGAGCATTGCTACAATATTGGGTGCATCATGATTTAACAAAAAAATTTAGTGGACTGCATTTCCATCTGTAATTTTTTGCTCAAACAGAACAAAAAATATTTATTTTTGAAAAGAATGATCACAGGTGATGAAGGATGGGATGCTTACAACAATGTGGTGTGAAAAAGGTCCTAGGGAAAACGAAATGAGCAAAACACTCCAAAAATTTATATGAAAATGGTGATGCTGTGTATCTGGTAGGATTGAACTGATTGACTTTTTTTTCTATGGCTTATCAACCCCTTACATGTTATTTAAAGCCAGAAAATATTTTTAGATTGTAAGAATTTTTAGAGAGAGAGAGAGAGAGAAAGAGAGAGAGAGAGAGAAATTAATGATTTAGTGATACAAGTCTTACTAATTGAGCCAAAGCTGCAGGGAGAAGAGGTAGATTTATACATTTCCTAAGTGCATTCATGTGTAAGAGAATGTAATGAACCCAACTGGAATCCAAACTCTGCTCTCCAATTAACAATTCCAAATCATTATCCATTCCACCACCTGCACATCCAAGCTTACAGCACCTGGTATTCCCAAGCAGTCACACATCTAGGTACTGACCAGGTTTGTTGTTGCTTAACTCCAGTGATCGTATGGTAACTGGTATTTCAACATGATGAGGCCTTAAGCCTCTGGTAGGATTGGAAGGATATTTTGTATTATAAAGTACTTCTGCAAAATCAAACAATGAATTCAGGCATGGGCTGTTTCCAATTTGTCCTATTAAAGACAGCAATGAATGAAAAGCACCTAGAATTGGCCAATCAGAAAGGTGGCATCTTCCTTCAAGACAACACCAGATTCATGTCTCTTTGCAAACCCAATAGAAATTGGTACAGCTTGGCTGGCATGTCCTCCTACACACACTGATTTTGCACCTTTGGATTACCACGTACTTTGATTCCCAATGGGAAGAACTTCAATTATTTGGAAGATCGTAAAAGCTACTTTGATGAGTTCATCATCCAGAAAGATGCCAAGTCATGGGAGGATGAAATCCTGAAGTTGCCTCAAAAATGGAGAAAGGGAGTGGACCAAAATGACATATATGTGGTTGAATAAAACTATATACAAAAATCTGTTTATTGTCTGTGAAATTCACTAAAAAATGCAACAAACTTCTATTTCATCCCTATATATATATCGGAAAGACAGAAAAAAGATGGAAAAGGAACAGGGAGGGAGAGAGACAGACAGACAGACAGAGACAGAGAGAGAGAGAGTATAAGGAAATAAGAAAATTATGAAAAGAAGAAACAATCATGACATTGTACACATGTGCACATATGCACACATACAGGCATACACTCACAAAGATGAAGAAAAAATCAACCTAACACCAAAAAAAAGCAAATAAAATATTATTTTTTTTAATTTGATATAAAAATAACAAAAATGAGAAAATCAGCAGACAAATGCTGATACCTCCTGATGAGTGGACTGAACAATTACAAAAAGATTTATCTATGAAACTCTGAAGTTGGAGTGCTGAATATAACATCAATCAACTAAATGATAAATTTTATATTTGTATTAATCCTATATATATATATATATATATATATATAATGCTAGAATTAGGTGGCTAGAAGTAAGGGGTGATGTGGGTGCAGAAATTGTGTGACAGCCATGACTGAGTTCTCCTGCTTGCATGGTGCAGAGTCCTGTTGCCAGACATAAGGTCTTCCAGCAGCCACCCTCTTGACCCAGGGCTGCATTACCTCCTCAAGATATAGGCCTCCATGTTGACTCTGAGGCCTGTGGGAAGATGAATGGAGGTATAACATCATTATCACTAGTGATCATTCCAAACTTCTTTGTAATCATCATTAGACTCATCCAACTCTTTCCAAATCCTCTTCACTTGCCTCAGATTGACCCCCAAACACACTGAAATGTTCATATTGGAGCTTCCACCATGAATGTCAAGCAGTACAGCATGGCATTTCCAAATTTCTGGCAGAGTGAATTATGCCATGGTGCTCTTTTTCTCACAGAGGGTGCCCAACAGACCCTACTATACTATGCAGTCAACAAAATCAAAAACAATGTACATGCATGATATTAAAAACATAAAATGGCGACAATTTACCCATCACGCCTGTGTGTGTGTGTGTGTGTGTGTGTGTGTGTGTGTGTGTATGTATATATATATATATATATATATATATATATATATATATATATATATATATATATATATATATATCAATTTAGGTCTAGAAAATGATAGTTATCAATCTCTGTCTGTTTATATACAATGTAATGATGAAAAGTTTTCTATTCCACCACAAATTCTGATGTTTGGTTATTGGATCAGATTATAGGAAATTAAATGAATTGAGAACTTTTTCAGTATCCGCTCTTCTATGTGTGTATGAGTGTGGGTATGTGGGTGTAGGAATTTATGCACATGTCAATCATAACATCACAACCAAAATGCAACTATCAACATAAGATAAATATTAGTAGTCTACCTGTGCTATCAAAAATTACAGCAATCATATAAAATCATTTGCACTATTTAATGTGGATTATTATCCTCATCTTTGTTGCTGTTATCACACTGTTTTGGCTATTGTGTTCTCCAGCCCTCATCAGGTGTATGTTGAACCAGTTAACCTACAGGGAATTCCAAACTGAACTCTTTATTTAATCTATGAAGGCAGACTGTTCCCATTCCATTGCCCATGTTTAGGGATATGTCATCTTGTTCTTATTTTTGTCCTGATCAGTTATTGTTTGCACTGAATTCAAATACACACTGGATTAAAACAATGGTTTGTGAATTTGGTGAGATAGTAATTGTGAGTTCAGTCCCTGGAATGAGAACAGTCTTCTTCCATAGATTAAATAAAGAGCTTAGTTTGGAATTCCCTGTAGATTATCTGGATCAACATACACCTGATGAAGGCCAGAGCACACAATGGCCAAAATGTTGTAATAACAACAACAAAGAGGAGGACAATAGTCCTTATGCAAATAGTGTAAATAATAACTCCTCATTCAAGAAACTGAAATGGATATAATCATTAGTATTTTTTTAATAATGAGATGCAATGAAACAAAGGTTTTGAAACAATGTATTGCGGTTCAGTAAAGCATTGATCCAGAATTCACAACTAAAATAGAGGCCAGTGAACCATTTAATTATTTTGTTTCCTTACTATTACATATTATAAAAAGATTTTTTGTTATTTTGCATTTATTACATAACAGGCATATGTATTTCACTATATTATGTAACAAAGGTTCAGAATTTACAACTTAAGCAAAAGTCACTGAAGTGTTTACACAATTAGTTCCTTTATTACTATGTTTTTTTGTAATAAATTGTTTTAGAAGGATTTCCTTGCTTGTCTTTACTTTTGATATCAAACTGCCAAAATGGAAAAAAGAGCTCCAATTTATGTGCTGCAGGTCTCAGATGTCATTTCAGAAGTCAACACTTAAACAGAAGTAACTAATGAAGTGTTGAGACAATTAATTCCTTTATCACTGGGTTTTTTGTGGAGGTTTTTTAAAATTAATTACTCTGAGAATCCTTATTCTAGTCTTATTTGTTCAAGCTTTTCTTGTGAGATACTCGTATACTAAGTAATTGTCTTGCTTCAACTTGGTCTCAAGATAGGCTTTGTCGTCATCATTGTCATTTTGTTGCTAATCTTCTTTTTCTTTCAAGAAGCATTTCCATTTCAATTCACTGTTATATTAAACACACAAAATTTTTAACATGAAAGATATTGAGCAAATGTGACTTATATAATAGCAATCAATGAATCAGATACCTCTGATCACCTAAAAATATAAATATACATTTTTCTCAACAAATTAAATAAAGTTCATATTTACACTATGTGCATGATCCTATAATGACTGCCAGAAAAGTTCAGTTTGAAATTAATGTTGATAAATATTTGAGGTTAAAAGGTTAAATAAAATACTTCAATTGTGAGTATTATTCATTTTGCACTAGTAACTGAAGGTGCAACAACAGAGACATACATATATATGAATAGTGTACTTATGCTGTCAAAAATGAGGGTGTTTTACAACAGTCTCTGGTTATACCTCTCTTTTAATGTACTCAAATATGATAAAATAGGTATTATATGGCTGATGACATACTTTCTGTCATATATGATATACACCAATCATTAAAGAGTCTATAATATACATTGTTCCATATATGATACAGCAGCCTTAAAAATTTAAAGGCCATATCATTGCTATGCCATTTTATGCTCCTCTATTTAAAAGAAATTCTCTATAATATTTATTGAAAGAATTATAAACATTATTAATTTTGTTCTATCTAATTAGATAAAGCATGACAGGAAAGATATAAATAAATAAATACACAAGAGTAATTAATATATATATATATATATATAAAACCAAAATACTATACTTCACTCACTGCAAGGAAAGACACAAAATTCTAGAAGCCATTATTATACAAAAGACACAATCCACATATTAAATATCTTTCATCAGAGGACATGGTATCTTGAAGTGTGTACTAAATAATAATGTTGCCACCAAGATGACACTACAGAAGGTGACCTGGGATACAAGACTTTGCGACATCCACCATATTCCCTTGATCTCTCACCCACTGACTACCACTTTTTCAAGCATCTTGACAATTTTTTAAGCCAAAAGACATTTCATTGCAAAGAAGATGCAAAAACTACATTCAAAGATATCTTGGCACCCAAAGCTTTAGAGTTTTGTCATAAAGATAAAAAGAACCTTTTAAAACAAGAACAGAAATGTATAGATGTTCAGTACTCCTATTTTGATTGATTTAAACATTGTTTAAATATATTAATTCAAGAATAAAAGTTAATTCTAAAATCAGACATTATTTTTTGAACAACTTAACAACTTATATATATATATATATATATATATATATATATATATATAGGAATAGGGTTAGGTAAATGAAATAACTAGATATTAGTGACCATATACATGCATGCTAGCGTGTATACATTGGTAAGCAAATAAATAATTACCAAATTTAGCCAAGAGGTGTAGACATAATAGTGATCAATGTGATTAGACAGAGCTAAGAAATATATATTAATAAATGCACATATAAATATGCTTGGTGTGCAACTTAAGTTTAATTGGTTACCCAACTTGTCGGGCACAAGATATAGCTTATTGTTTATAAATAAAAAATAAGCTATATGTTGTGTCTGATGAGTTGGGTAACCAACAAAACTTAAGTCATACACCAAGCATAGGTATATGTGTGTATATATATATATATATATATATATATATATACATATACAGACATACACTTACATTTGTATTGATGTGTATATTTATTTCTGAAAACACAGAAATGTAGTTAAAATTTTCAACTAAAATGAATAATATAGTCATATCATATGCATCTAATTTTATTCATATACACATAAACATCATAAACTTTAAAAGAAAGGGGTGTGTGTGTGTGTGTGTGTGTGTGTGCATCTGTGTGTCTAATTTCCAGCATAAATATGGAGACTTTTATACATGAACACCAATGGACATAAACAAATATATCCAATGGACAAATACACTCACAAAATACAAGCGACAAATGCAAAAGGAG